TTGTATATATATGTACGTTTCATAAAAACAAATCTAATAAAATTTAGGGTGAGCTTGCCCGAACTTTAAAAAAAAAAAAAAAAAACAAAAAAAAAAAAATGATATAATAAGTGAATTTACAAAAACAAACTCATATTTTGCTAAATTCACTTATCAAGAAATGATATGTAAGAAGAAACAAAATCTATAAACAGATTCTCAATAATACAATCAGTTTCAATTGACAAAAATAAATTTGTATTTTGTTAAATCTATTTATCAAAAGATTGTATAAGTAATAAGAGAAAAGAAATAGAAGTAATAAAAACTTTGCTTATAAATTGATTAATGATGCAATTAATGTATTATTGGCAAAACTCTTTTCCATATATAGAAAAATCAGAAAAAATTGATTAATGATGCAATTAATATATTATTGGCAAAACTCTTTTTCATATATAGAAAAATCAGAAATAATTGACTTTTTAGGAAATTCTCAGAAAAACTGACAAGTAAGTAAAGAAAAAATGTGTATTAGCCAAGCATCAATATCAAGTGTAGAAAGAGAAAGAGATACAGAAAAGAAAACAATAACCATCACTAAAGAAGCTAAAGTTGGAGCAACCACTGTCATAAAAAAAAAATCAGGCAAATCCAAAAGCCTGAACAAAGAAAAACTAAAGAGAACACAAGTGCAAGCAACAAATATGAATTTAGGAAAAAGAGAAGTAGAAGTAAGTAAAGAAGAAGAAATAAAAAAGCAAGAGCAAGACACAGAAATGCAAAAAGAGAAACAGCTGAAATCAAATGAAAAGAGAACAGTAACAACAGGAATAGATATTAGAGAAGAAGAAATGAGAGTATATAAAGAAAAGATAAAGGAAACTAAAGAGAGGAAGGAAGATCTAAGAAAGTGAAAAGAAACCAAGACACATATGTGAACTAGAACTATTTGTAAATAGAAAATTAGCAGAAAGAGCAAATATTGTGAAAAAATCCCCTTTCCTGCCGATGAACAGTTTTCCCTTCCCCTTGAAGGTTTTCTTTCTAGGCCTCTCTTTCTTTTACCG